GGAGGCCGGGAGGGGAGGATGGGGTCAGGGCTGTGTGGAGGCCGGGAGGGGAGGATGGGGTCAGGGCTGTGTGGAGGCCGGGAGGGGAGGATGGGATCTGTTGAGGGCTGCACTGCATCCCCTCGAGAAACCATCTGCTGAAGGCCTGACCCCCAGCGTGGCAGCCTGGATTGGATGTGGAGATGGACAGGGTGGTGAGAAGAGGGAGAGGCACCAGGGATGCACTCAGAGAAAGGGCCAGGAGGACCAAGCAGGGAGGCCTCAGACAAACAGAATCTGCAGATGCTTTGATCTTGTACTCTGGGCCTTCAGGACTTCGACAGAATAAATTTCTGTGGTTTAAGCTGCTGGGTCCGCGGTACTTTGTGACGGCAGCAGCACACACCTACAGGTGCGGGGCATCGGAACATGCTGGCTGCGAGGGTTGCCCACACTGGGCTGACACCTTCATCCTCACACCACAGCGGAGTGACCGGAACCATCCACTCGTGACCCAGGACGGTGCCAAGGCCAAGACCTGGCCCTGTCCTCCAGCCCAGCAAATCGCCTGTCAGGAGAGAGGGTTGGGGCGGGAGGCCCCAGCAGGAGCTGTTGTCCTACCCAACTGCTGCGGGCCCAGGGCTTGGCTGAGAACACGAAGGGGAATGGGGCCGGTCGTGACGCAGGCGCTGGTTCTTGGGGGCAGCACTGAGACATTAGAAATGCCGGCAGGTGCTGTAAATAGCTCCTGAATCGGGGACCCTAAGGGACCCCACTTACCAGAGAAAGAATCTCAGCCAAGCCCACACCAAGGTTTCTACCATCTCTCCCCAGTGACAGGCCCAGGGCTCTGATTCCAGAGCCAGGCAGACCATACTCCTTTCTAACCCAGAGCATGAGACACACATCGTGGGCCCGTGAGTAAATGACTGAATACAGAAGCTGTGTGCAGGAGAATCTGAGTTCAGTTGGGCCGGTGCCCGCCTCCATGCCAGCAGGAGGAAATAGTCCCCCAGAAGCTCACTGCCCTCCTGTCTACAGATGGAAGGGCTGGTGCCCAGGGCCCGGGTGCTGCCCCAGGAGACACGGCCACATCAGCCACTTCAGGGCCACCCTCCTCACCCGGTTCCCATTTCCCCTCATTTTAATAGTATAGTAAGAAAAAGTGCAGGAATGGGCTCCACCCTCTCTGCAGGGGGGCCCTCCGGAAAGTTCCATGTGCACCTGCAGCCTAGGGGGTGGCACTGCCAGGGTGGGGGTCCAGCCTCTGACCACAGGGGGCCCTCCCCAGGCTGGCCCAGCACAGTGGACACCATGGGCCGCACTATATGGACAGAGGGTGAGCCATGGGCACCGCCCCAGCGACAGCCCCCAGGGGCCACTCCAAGTCAAGCCCAAGATCCTGGAAGACACCAAGGCTGTCTGGGGGACCCATGGCCAGAGGCTGAGAGCTCCCTTCTTCTAGAGATCCAGAGCGCAGGGACTGACTGCCACCTGCCCACCAGACCGTTCCCGTATAACTCACATGGTTTTTGTTTTCTGGTTTATGATGCTTTGACGTCTCCGGGGCCTTACTGGCTGGGTGGAGATGCCCTCCCAGGGCTGGCTAATTCCTAGAGACAGCACAAGGTGCCTACAGAGCTCCCCTTTAATGCACAAGCCAACCCAGCTGGAGCCTGTAAACCCAACCACCCCTTACCTGACTCACTCACCAAACTCACGTTCCTCTGCCCTCAATCACCCAGGGGCAGGATGGTGGTCAACTAGACACCACCCCATAGCCCGGAGCCCAAGGAAATTAACCTGTCCAATCCCGAACTTGCTCCTTCGTGCCCACCCTCCCTGGCCTCTCTTCCCAGGGAAACCCCTGCGAAGCCTCTGGCCACACTCTCCCCTCTCACCTTCCGGGTCCTGTTGCCACAGCGCCCCCCGGTGGCCCTGTGTGGCATGACACGTGCCCTCCTGTGGTTTAAGCTGCTGGGTCTGCAGTACTTTGTGACACTCTCCTTTCAAGTCAGGGTTCCTGTGTCTGTATCCCACCACACCCAACTGAAATAAATCCCGGTGCGTTTCATCACAGCCCTGCCTATCCCAGGCTTGCTGGAAGTAACCACTCACTGGCACCGAGGGGAAGGGGGCATGGATCACCTGGCTGAGACTATGTGGCTGCCGCCCTAGGCCTGGGGCCCAAAGCTCCTGGCCCAACCACAGAGCCAGCCCAGTGCCGGTGTGGCCACAGGCGATCCCCAAAGGTAAGGCCAGAAATCAGCACCCAGCCAGAGCTTCCCAGGCCAGCGGGCCCCACATCTGCGGGGCATGAAGTTGGGCGCCCACCCCAGGATCCAGCCCATCTGCACCTGGGAGCTGAATGTCCTAGCTACCAGCCAGAATGGGGTCCCCAGCAGTCTCCATCGGGCTCTGAACTGTTAATGTGTGACAGCCCTGCCCTCCCCGCCACTATTGCTGAGACAGTGTAGGGCCAGGCTGAGCACGCTGGCTTGTGCGGCGTGAGCCAAGACTCCCCAGACACGGTAAATGCCCCTTGTTCCAGGGCACTTTGGAACTGGGTATCTCCTCAGCCCCAAGGTCTCGCCAATTCAGCGTGCCCGTCGTTCTGGCCTCCTGCAGGGAGATGACCCAGGGGGAGGGGAATTGATGGGTAAGCTCCCCAGCTCCCCGCTC